TTCAGAATATGTTTCTAATAAAACAATATAAATTAGTTTTATTGCGTATGTTTTATGCAGAATTTATTTTTCTTTTGGATGATGTAAAAAATGTCTATTTTTCTACAACTTGAAAAATTTTAATGCGGGATTAATTTAAATTATCCAAATTTGCCAGCAAAATAAGTTTAAGATCGTATGTATATTATGCAAATTATTTGTTAAATGGGTGGTCACATGGCTGGTCATTAATGCATTATATAGTGTAATAACTGAGCATTGTTATACAATTAATTTGCTATAGGAAAGCATCGTAGTCTGAACCCAGTGACTAGATAAAAAAAATACTGTTTCTTCATCAACAAAGCGTTTCCTTTATGAACATAAGTAATTAAAGTGCAGCAAAATGATTGTGTTCAGGCTTGGAAGCTTTACCAGGATAATGGACAATATAAGGATAGATCGGGAGCCCCAAGAATAAAAACAGTGAAACTGGACAGATGAATTCATAGGCTTTCTGAAGCTAACTGCATGCTGACAGCCGGGGATACTTGCAGCCATTTATCTGGTAAAACTGGTGTTAGTTTTATGTCACAAACTGTCTGAGAATTTGGATTATTCAGGCGCATTACTAGAAAAAAGCCACTTGTTTCAGAGAGGAATTGACTCAAGTGACTGAATTTCACGAAAAGTCACATTCAATGGATGGTTGACGACTAGTGTAGACTTCTTTGGAGTGATGTGTCACACTTTTGCATTTTTGGAATAGATAGAAAAACCTTTGTCAGATGCTGCCCAACCAAGGAATTCCATCCTAGATATGTCAAAAAGACGGTGCAAGCGGGAGACAGGGGTGTAATGGTGTGAAGTGCATTCAGTAGCTTTGGTATTGGTACAATTGTTAAAGATGATGGAAAACTCAACAGTGTAGGCTATATGCAGCTAGTTAAAGAACATGTTCTGCCATATTTAACTGACCAAATGCCACCTGGAGCTATTTATCAACAACATAATAGCCCCATTAACAAATCCCAAAAAAGTAATGCAATTTTTAGGTCAAAATAATGGATGTCATTGAATAGCCTCCACAGAGTCCGGTTTTTAATCCAATTGAAAATTTATGGAACTTATATTTACAAAAATGTTCACACTAAAAAACCGACAAATGTTGCCCAATTATATGATTATATTAAGCAAATATAGCAGATCATTCTAAATGATTATCTCCCTTTGCTTTGAGAGATGCAGCTTCAATTCCTGGTCGAAGGACGTAAATTTTTCTTTAATAAGATTTCTCGAATACTAAGGCCGATTATTATAAATATACAATTTATTAGCTAAATCAAGTGCCTACTGAAACACGAATATCCATTAAAAACAATGTTTAAAGGAAAACACACACAGAGAATTATATATATATATATATATATATATATATATATATTAAAGACATTTTTATGTTTAACGTTCTTTTTTTTTCTTTTTTCTTTTTTTTTATAGATACAAGTATTTAAGTAAATGCTCTGTTTTATAATAAACAGTATTAAATAACATTTACCGGCCTGAATGTCCGAGAAATTTTCATAGAAAATATTCGTCCTTTGACAGGATTCGAACCTGCATCCTATACGGAACCGTCATTTAATAATAAATAAATTGTCGGACTTTGTCCATTTCTTAATATATATATATATTTATATATATATATAATTCTGTGTGTGTGTGTTCCTTTCGAGCCATTTCATGCAATCGTCAGACTATAAGCATTGTGTTTTTGTTAGACTATTTATATAATGTTGCATTGTGGTTAGTCTATTGTATTGTTCTAAAGGTTATAATGGTGTGCGATAACGGTTATGTTTCGAATTATTCTAGGGGCTTATTGGGTGGAAATAACTGTGGATCTGGATGTAGTTGTTTTTACATTTTATAACAATAAAATTATCCATAATAAATAAAAAAAGTTAACAAATAACACTATATATAGCCACATATTAAAATAAAACGGTTAACTCAAAACATTCTATTATTTAAAATAACTAAATACATAAATAATTAATATAAAATTAAAATAAAATCATATAAAAATTCAACAGCAGCATTTACTCATTAGTGAATAAATTACATCACTTAGCGTCCACCATAGTTTTTCGAACTAAACGATATTTTTACTTCATGCTGGAAAATAAAATCCTTACATATAACCTGATAATGTCAGTCAGAGGACGAAACGTGTTAAACAAAAGTTTTCCTTTTGCTTATATTCATACTGATTTTTTGCAAATATATTTTAGTTATATTTGACTGTTTACACACACACACACACACACACACACACACACACACACACACACACACACACACATACATACACGCACATTTATAAAAGAGACTTCTTCTGACTATACTTGAAAGTATTTTCCATTTTGTTGTGGGATTACCCATTATTAGTCAGATATATATATATATATATATATATATATATATAATTTGCTTATATATATTTACAGTAAATTTACAGTTATATATATATATATATTTACAGTAATTTACAATTGCCCGAGGAGACACCAGTAATTTACAGTCGCCTGAGGAGATGCACTGATATGCGTCGCAACACGACTGCAATTGTGTAGCGATTTTTGACATGTTTTGGATTTAATATCCTAAAAAATATATATATATATATGTGTGTGTGTGTGTGTGTGTGTGTATAAGAGAAAGATTAAAGCTGTGCCAACGAGAGAAAGGTGTATATTTTAAAGAGAAAAGAGAAGCCGCAAATGTTTTTTAATTATAATGTGAATTTTTTATTTATTTCTTTAATTTCTTTTAAATATATATTATACTTTATTTTCCGTATTTTTTGCTACACGAGTTTCAGGTCTTGTAACCATCATCAGGCGAAGAATTGTTATTTCCACATATTATTTAAAAGAATTAATTTTTCCTTTTTCTTTATGTTTTCCTGTGTTTATTGTCCTTTGTGTGTGGTAGTAATCCAGATTATTCTTGTATTGGAGGGGAGAAAATGTTCCTGTGCTGAAGGGTCATAAAACAATGAGGATTGGTCAGAGAAAGGTGCAAAGAAGGAGGTCTCTGTTCTTATTTTTTTATGTTATCTGTATTTTTTTAAAGCTATCTCCATTTTTGTGTATTGTATGTGTGTTTTCGTTAGCACAGTGTAACCCGGATATAAGAGACCCGGATATAAGAGAAACCCGGATATAAGAGAGATTTTCTCTGGTCCCAAAGTGTTCCCATACTTACCTAAACAAAATAGACCAAACCCGGATATAAGAGAAACCCGGATATAAGAGAAACCCGGATATAAGAGAAACCCGGATATAAGAGACTTCTTCTCCGGTCCCGACAACTCCCTTACATCCGGGTTACACTGTATGTGTATTTAGAAAAATATAATAAAGTGGGAAAATTTTAATGACACGTTAGGATTTAATTGAATTGGGCTTTGTTGATGTTTCCACATGCGCACGAAAGGAACGGTGGAAGTAGTATATATATATATATATATATATATATATATATATATTTTTTTGTGTGTGTGATTAATACAAATAAAAATTTATCATTAAACTCAGTTATGTGTTTAGGCGATCATATATCTTTCGATACATGACTCACGAAGCAGATTTTTTTCCCGCAGTAGGCTGCCATTTCTTTCTGCGGTAGACCAGTTGCCATCCAAGGCTATTTACCCATAGCTGGGAGGAGAAGAAGAGGATGCATAACTTTCCTAATGGTATTGGCACACAAGTAAATGTAACGGATTTGACTGGAATTTGAACTCGGCCCTTCGATTCCTCAGTCCGAGCCGCTATCCATTGCCCCACAGTGATGTCATATACAGGGATACAATTCCGGAGTTTCGTAGACGAACCGTTTTTGTAATTGCTCGGTCCACTCGTCAGTAAACCTCAGCAAATGTCTGCCAATTACCTTTGTTTTCGTTATTTTTATATTAAGTTAGAAAAATAATTTGTAGGCTTTTTTATTGATGTTAGGTTGATTTTTCTTCTTTCTATATGTATGTGTGTGTGCACGCGCCCGCACCTATGCACGTGTGCGTACGCCTGTACGTGTATGTATGTGCACATGTGCGGGATATTATTTTTTCTTGGGTGTGTAAAAATAGGTATACAGTAACAAAACGTGTGCGCAAAACGTATTGCGTTGATTATACCTACTGTATAGTACTACTTACTGTATACCTACTTTTGCAGCCTCCGTAGAGAGAGGGGGCAGAATGAGAATTCGAACGTAATTAAGACTTTAGATAGATAAAGTCTGAATCCATAAAGGTGATGTGTGTAAGAATAGGATCAATAGTTTGGAAATAACCAGATGTAGGATGATAGATTTCAAGACTAGTTACTTTTAAAAGTACCATGAACGACTTAATTGGCGGACGTAAGGCCTTTATTTTGTATTACTCGATTGTCTACCTTACAATCATCAATGATGTAATTACTATTGTAGAAATTACGAAGCAAATTTTGCTCTCTATCATTGAGTCTATTCGTAGTGTTCTCTATTATTAACTCCCTTATTATTGTTCAGGAGAGTCATACGTTAAGTGGCAGTACGTAAATGAATGGAAACTAATTGAAATATTTCGTTTGATAAATCGAAAAGTAGAATTTTGACGGCAAGGTGAGTCCATTAAGCAAGGTCAAAGAAAAATTGCCGTTGGAAATTTATAAGTAATTCAGTTGATCTTGCAAACGGAATTAGACTGCTTGACTGATTTGTTTTTACGTCTTATAAATCTTTTTTCAGGTTATTTAAAGCCAGAGAATATTTTTAGATCGTAAGCATTTTCTTGGAGATAATAATGATTTACAGATACAAATCCTTCTGATTAACCGATAGCTGGAGAGAGAAACGGTGGATTCACACGTTTCTCAAGGATATATACGCGTAAATGATCCCGACTGGAATTGGAACTCGGTTCTCTGATTAACAATTCCCTTATTTATTGCATCAACCGCACATCCAGACTTACAGCACCTGGTATTCCCAAGCGCTCACCAATCTAGGTACTGACCAGGCGTGACGTAGCTTAACTCTGGTGATCGTAAGAGAACCGGTGCTCGAACGTGATCTGGCCGTAAAACAAACGTAAGTAGAAGAGAAAGATATCTGCCTAAATACGGGATTCCCAAAATGAGCAGTATCTCCCCGTCTAGGGTTAGTGTAAACAGTTAGGAGATCTAGTGAAGAATAAAAGGGGGTATGGGTGGGGATTAAAAAAAAGTGAATAGTAGGAGGTAGTAGGTTGACATTAGAACCAAGTAATCATATTTTTCTTTCTTTTACAAAATCTATAGTACAAAATACTAAGTTATTTTTTTATCAATTCATTCCAAGCAAAGTGATAATGCCACTAAGACGCAAGAGGCTTCCTGGGAGTGAAAGATAATGAAATGACTTTAGAAGGAACCGGAAACCCAATCCTAATCAGGAAACAAGAGATAAACCTCTAATCCTGTTCAAAAGGACGGGGAGGAGTAGGAACTGGACGATAGGTGAACCTATCTACTCCTATTAAACGTGATTTTATTTTCTTTTGTTATCCGAAATTAGAAGTCCGACTGTTTCTTTAGATCTTGCCGACGTTACATGGACAGGAAGCGCCACACATCAGCCAGACCCAATAACCACCGTATGCAGGGGCCAATACGCTAGCTTTTGTATGGATATTGATATAATCCCGGATGTTTGTCTGGCGATATGCAACGGAATTTAAGAAAAGCCGAAATGCATATGTGCGTTTAGAGTGTTGGATGTAGTATTGTTTTGAATTTGCAGTGTGCTTAATACCCAATGAAATGGGCGCATGGCCGAGTGATTAGAACGTTCTGAGTCTGATCATGAGACCCGGGTTCAAATCTCGCCATAGTCGATTTATACATCTAGATGACTTCTTGATGTCACCGAACAGGGGTAGACGATCCCAGCATGGGACGATTTTTGGAAACTACCTGATTGAAGTATGAACCATAGGTCATCGTGGCCGAGTGTTTGGACGTACTGGCTTAAAAGAACTTGATCATGCTAGAATATGCGCTCTCTCCCAGAAATTGTAACTAAGGTCAGCTTAGCGTTGTTGCAGTATAGACAATGAGCTAACATGATCGAGAGTTTTAGCGTACTGGCTTTGTTCAAGAAATTGATCCAGACAGAAGATGTACTCTCTCCCAGAAAGTTTAACTAAGGTCAGTTTAGTGCTGTTGCAGTATAAACCATGTGCCAATGTGACGGAGGGTTTAAGCGTACTGCCTATGTTCAAGAAAATGATCTCGCCAGAATATTCGCTCTCTCTCAGAAACTTGGAATTAGGATTTAAGATTTTTTTTCTCTTAGAATAGTTGCCAGCCAAGTTTATGGAGCATAGTCTACCCTGCTATTTAACTCATAGCTGGGGTATAAGAAAGAGATTCATACTTTTCTGATATGCATTTGTGCAAAAGTGGACCTAACAGGCCAGGATGGAATTTGAACTCTGTTCGCCGATTTAGATTTTCTTGCCGATAAAGCCTACACTGCTCAATCAAACATACCTTTGTTGAAAAACCATTTTTACACTTTCAGTTGTAAAAGAAAAAAAATGTTTAGAATTACAGATAAATTGTTTGAGTGTTTATTAAGTGTATAGTGAGGTTCGAATTTGCTATATTTCTCAATGATCTACAAGCAAAAGACTCCGATTATTCCAAACCAGGCATGAAATTGAATTATGTTTGGTCCCTGGAGATTCCATTTCTGAGTCAATACCTCCACATCACATTTAAACGCTGTAAGACAAACGCTAGTGCCTGCAGCAGTTGCTGCGGAGACTGTACTATTTTTATGCTGCTAGTCACATTCAAACACGTGACTCCGCATTAAATCGACCCTGTGTGGTATCTGCCTTCGTGGGAATTCAAATAAATGTCATTACTTCGGCAGGCGTTAAAAAGTGACAATATGAATAAAAACCATAAAAAGATGCCAATAAAATTTCGATGACAACCGAAGGCACAATAGATATAATCAAGAAGAGAAATCAAACGATAATAGTAATAGTAACATTATCCGTTTCCTTATAAGGAAACATTCGTCATTTATTGACCGAGCAGCCAATGCGCTATTTTTCACTCCATGGCTTTCAGTCCGCAATCAAAATGTAGTATCGGTTCTCCTAAGTTCTGATGACAGTAATAATATTAGCTATTTCCTTATAAGGAAACATTCGGCATTTATTGACCGAGCAGCCAGTGCTACACTAGTTAAGCTATTCTTCACTCCATGGCCATCAGGCTGGGATCAAAGTGTAGTATCTGTTCTCCACTACTCTACTGACAATATTATGGTTTCTTTACAAGGAAACATTCATTAACGAAGCAATCAGTTTATAAAATCTTTTTGTTAAGTAAATTTTCCAGGAAAATAGGTTTCGCAAGTCCAGTAGCTGTTATTGCTCTTTCAAGTATTGATGGGGGTTTCCTTCCTAACCTTTGGTTTGAAGTAGGGTGGAATATCAACATCTTGATTGTCACTGTTTTCTCTTCCTATTATATGTGCTATCTATTTTAGTTGCTACTGCTATTGAAAGCCCTCATGGGATGTTTCTGCTATTTAATAAATTTTTTTGTGATTCTGTAGCGCCAGTCTACAAGGTTTGATGAAGAACGGTCCTAGCCAATACCTACAGGCTTCATTACCTCGAAGCCAACTTTAACCATGGGTCTGAGAAAGTGATTGTATACTGCAATACCAGGTGCTGTAAGCTTGGTTATGTACTTAGTGTAATGGATAACGATTCGAAATTGAAAGTGGGAAAGGCGAGTTCCAATTCCAGCCGTATTTGTTATATTCCCTTACGCACAAATACACCCAGGAAATGTTTTGGTTTTGTAGCAATTGGTGGTGTTGGGCGAGACTACCGCTAGCTCATTCTATTCTTTGTTTAATTTCCTTCGATGCAAAATTTGTCATGTGATTCATACATCGATGTATCTGAAGGCGAGATTTGAATTCAGAGTTGATGGTGTTTTGAAAACATATATATACGTCGACAGAAAGCAACATAAGTTTTGTAAAATCCTTTAAATACATCCACCGCATGTCAGAGTTCTTTTTTTTTATCAGAATTATGTCCAAACATAACATCATATCACTTCGTGGCAACATTTTCTTCGTCCTGTTCTCACTCCTCCTCTTGAACACGAGTAGAGGTTTAAATAAAATTGCGTAGAAAATATTTAGATTTCGGCATTAAATAACCTATGCCGCTAAATAAAAACAACCAACCAACTTTGTGACATTATCGCCTTGCTTGGAGTGAAATGATTATAAAAAAATGGCGTCATCTCGAAAACTTCACCAGTTTCCTGCTTGGTTCAGTAAAATAATTAATTCTCTCGTTTTAGAGAGCAATGGGAACCTGTTGCATATATAAGCCGACATATTGTACTAAATTATCATCGAAATGACCTGATTTTAATGAATTTTTCAACTACTTACATCATCAAAATCATGTTTTTCCTCTTTTTTTCGGCACACTAAGTTCAAGGCATAATTTTCAAAATGGTTTCCTCATTTTTTATTTATTTCGCAATATGTCGCAGTGAACGAACCGTGTCTGATAAGTCAGACATTTACGAGAGCTTCAGTCCTTACCTCCTATAGCTGGGAATTGTCGATAATATTTTAGCTGACATTACAGACTGCCATTTTTTTATATCGATACTTTTTGGGGGTTAATAATTAAAATATCATCAATATGTATGAAGTATAATGATTCTTTTTGAAAGGATGTATTGAAATGTAGCTGATGCAAAAACATGCTCGAAATACGTTTGCGAAACAGTCACAAAAATGGCTACCGACTGGTTGTCAAAATTTTAGTAATAATTGTTGCAGAATCTTACTTATTATAAAACGCAGATTGTGTGTGTGTGTGTGTGTGTGTGTGTGTGTGTGTGTGTGTTCGTTTATATATTGGATCGGATTTCCTACATTTTTCAACCGATTTCAACAAAACTTCACAGGACTACGTAAAATTACCTTGCGGTGGTTCTGACAGCGCCAAAAATTAGAAAAACACAATTGTTTTTGCACGAAATCAATTTGAAAACACAATAAAATACGATTCTGTCGCCAGAATGAAAGGGGGACAATTCATATCGAGTTATACTTATTATAAAACCCAGGTTGTTTGTGTGTGTGTGTGTGTGTGTGTGTGTGTGTTCGTTTATATATGGGATTGGATTTCCTACATTTTTCAACCGATTTCAACAAAAGTTCACTTTTTTTTGGCAGGTAGTGTTTCTTATTGTCTTGCACTCTTTTTCTTTATTTTTACATTCAGAATGCTTTAAAAAATTTCATTTACAAGACAATTGTTTATAATAAAATTCTATTCAATCGGTAGTCTCATAACGATTGAAAACAATGTTTTTGTTTGAGTTTGGGTTTGACCAATTCGTAATAAAAAAAAAAAAAAATAACTAATTAAGACTTCAACCTTAAACAATAATCTTTGTCAATTTTATTTTTCAGTCTTTATGATAGTCGATACTTGATCTATCTCTTACTGTTACATCCCCGGGCAACGCCGGTCTCTCCTGTTAGTTTGAAATAACACTGATTGGTGAATAATCTATATACCCTGGCAATAGTATCAATGGGTAGAGGTTTTCCTATTTGAAGTTTCCGAGGAAGCATAATTCTTATGAGTTTCTGAAGAATCATAATTCTTATTTATGAGTTTCCGATGAGTCATAACTCACAATAAAATACCCGTGGTAATTCCCATATCGCAGGCGTTCTCAGCCAGTCGGGGTATTCCTCCACCCGACCCAAGAAGTCGATTTCAGGGGTGGGATTTTTATTTATTTATTTTTTTTGTTTTTATTTATAGATTTTATTTATTGAATTACAATACCCTGGCATTCTATTGAACTTGTTGAGAACAACTTCCCGATTGAATCATTACAGATTTGAGTTTAATAGCTTGCAATAACAATCATAAATGTGAATGCAGGTAATTTATTTAAAGAAGTAAGAGGGTACAAATGAAAAGATTAAAAACTGACATAGTTTTCTATTTCACTCAAGCAGATGTTAAACGCATGAGAGCGTTATCGCATTTTCTTTCCTTTTTTCTTTCTTTCTTTCTTTCTTTCTTTCTTTCTTCATCTAAAACCAAACAGTGTCTCTGATATATCTTTTTCTTCCCTATTTCCTCACAATCAAAACGAAACGGTCCATTATGTATCTGAGGTTATGTCCGGACGCGACATTAGATTCTTATAATTCATTTACGTAGCGAACGTGTTTGCTACGTTTATTATCTGTAATCTATTGACTTTTATAAAATTTAATAAAGTAAATTTATTTACTGTATTAGTACCTAGTGTGCTTTATAGTAATAGGAGATAAAAGTATGAAGAAATATATATTTCCGGCCTTAGCGCCTACTATACAACTACAGTAATTATTATTTTTAAGTTTGTAAGGTTGAACGAGATTAGTCAAAATTAGTCATAAGCGTTAGATAATATTGAGTTAAAAAAATAAACACATACATTTAAAAAAAAAATAAGCTAACGTACAGACACTGTTACTTTTTTAAGATTGAAGCCGCAAGTATTTTTTTATTTGAATTGGGAGAAATACTCAGCATTCTTGAATATCCCAAGCGAATTATTGTTAAGCGCAACTTCAAAACAAGATCGTTGATGTGTATAAAACTGGTTGAAGAAACAGGTATTAAGAACAGTTCAGTGTAATGCACTTATGCGTTTGTATAAAATATGTTCCCTTATTTAGAGACAAGTAGTCGTTTGAAAAATAACACTGAAGGTTTTTTTGTATTTTTTTTTTTTTTTGTCTGTCACTCCTTTGTAATTCGTCGCATATATGCAAAAAGAGAGTCAGTTAATACATTTGCATTGACTGGCATTCACAAGCCACTCATTTGTTCATCTAAATTAAATTGCCACATGTTGCTGCTTTTCAGACGCATTTTTTTTGTCCTATACAATAACCATTCGCCCCTGCATTGAATACTGCTGCCATACATGGTCTGGAGCCTCCGCTGTTAAGGTCCCCGACAAAATCCAGAGACGGACATGCAATACGATTGGCCCTTATCTGGCATCTCGTTTACAGTTTACAGTCGTTCTCTCACAGACATGCCGACGCTTGTCTTTTCTACAAATACTTTCACGGTAACTGCTCCGACGAGCTATTTTCACTAGTTCCCAAACTGCATGAATTTAAACGTGCTACTGGGTTGGCAACTCAGTCCCACCCTTTCACTGTCGAAACGGTTAAATGTAGCCGTCTCTTCTACTCCAATAGCTTCATGTCTCGCACTTCCTGTCTGTGGAACTTCCTTCCTTTTACTTGCTTCTCTGATAGCTATAATCGCCAACTATTCAAATGTAATGTCAATCGACATCTCCAGATTCCATGATCTAATTCCCTATCCTTCTCTTCATCCTTTTCTCTATCACGCCTCTTTACTCTCGCTCCCACTCTCTGTAACCCCTTGCGTGCTAGTGTCACCCCGCCTTGCTTGAGGGGAAATGCTTTAAAAAATCTCCTAAAACTACCCTGCGTCCTATAAATCGGAGGTCGATGATAAGAGTTATAAGTTTGGGATGTGGGGCTAGCTTCAGCTCACCAGTTACATCCGGTTCTGAGCCCTTGAAAATAAAACAAGTTCAGTGTTGCAAAATTAAATTAACGTTTTGAAAGTAGCTATTTATGCAGTTGGGATACTGAAATATTGAGAGGAAACGAAGTTCCTGCAACAATAACACTTCCTTTGTTTCTTAAACTACTGGTCACAAACAAGCATCATTTATGATAGACATTTTAAGAATAATACTACTGTATACTACGCTTTCGTTAGCACACGCTGGGTATTTTCGCTTACGAAACAGCTATGGGTAAATAGCAGGATATACTATGCACTATAGCCTTGGTTGGCAACCAAACTAGAAGGAAAACTCTGAATTCAAACCACCTGCTGGCTTGTAGGTCCAGCTTCTTTAGGCAAAGACTAAAAAGATAACTTTCAAAATCAAATCCATCTCGTATATATCTTCTCAAAGAAAGGAACTGCGTCCCCTACTTCAAGCTGTGACAGAAAATAATGGACTCCCGCAGATTCTCTGATATCGGACCATTCGTTTATGGATATATTACCTACGACACTTTGGACGACGATATATTCTTTTTTTTTAAGCATTTTACTCCAAGTATGGCGGGAGTGTCACTAGCATGCAAGGGGTTACAGAGAGTGAAGATTAGAGAAAAGACTGGGTATAGAGGGAGTGAAGGAAAGGATAAAAAGATGAACGGGGATGAAAGCATCAGAAGATGTCGATTGACATTACATTTAAATTTTTGAAGATTATAGTTATCAGAGAAGCAAGTAAGAGAAAGGCAGATCCGCTGTCGGGAAGTGCAAGAGAAAAAGCCGTTAAAGTAGAAGAGACGGTTACATTTAACTGTTTCAGCAGTAAAAGTGTGGGAACGATATGCCAATCTCGTAGCACGCTTAAATTCATGCAGTCGGGGCACCAGTGAAAATAGTTCGTCAGAGCAGATGCGATGAAAATATTCGTAGAAAAGATAGAGGGAAGCCACATCATGTCTGTGAGAAAGTGACTGGAGTCGAGATGCCACATTGCAAATCCGTCTTTGGATTTTGTCGAGAACCTTGAGATGAACAGCGAGGGCACCAGACCATATATTCAATTCAGGGGCGAATGGTAGATTTATAGATGTGAAGGGTGGACTCAGACGAGAAAAACCTTCTGGCATGACACAGAGAACCCACTTTCCTTGCAGTAGATGCAGCTATTGATTCAGTGTCGTTGAAGATCAGAAACAGTGTAGGACCCAGGATAAAGCCTTGAGGAACACCAGCGTTTGTATGAAAGGAACTGGAAGAGGACCCATTCAGGACGACCTTCATTTCACGGTTTGACAGGAATGACTGGATTAAATCAAATAATCGCCCTGTAATACCGTATCCCTGAAGCTTATGTAGAAGGCCGGCATGCCAAACCCTGTCAACCGCCTTCGAGATATCTAAAGCCACAGCTCGAGCTTCACCGTTATTATCAGGGCTTTGTATACAAATTCAGTTATGGCCGTAAACATATTAGCTGTAGAGTAACCTATATTTTCTTTTTATCGCTGCAACTCTATTAGGGCAGATTTTTTTTAATTGCTTTTTAAATTAGTATGAGTAAAAAAAGTAATATCCAAAGAAGGCTAACACGAGGCAAAAGAAATAACCCGTTTTCCTCCCACTTAGTAATAAGGTATTCCGCTGTTCTAGTAACATTATTGGCTGAATATCTCATTAGTACGTATGGGAGATCACCAATAAATATATAAAGTTACATTAGGTTTTGTAATATAGAAGAGAAGTTACGATTTTACTTCATTTGACACACGTTTGTAATATCTCTTTTACATCAATGTGAATCCCTTCCTCTCTTTCTTGATCCGTTCCTCTGTCTATCTATCTATCTATCTATCTATCTATCTATGCACGCACAAACACGCACACACACATACGAACACGCACACACACATATATATAGGTAACCGTAAGTTCTATGTTAATAGTTTCTTCTTTTGCACTTCTCGCTTGTTGAACTCTCTTCCAGCTTCTTGCTTTCCAGTCAAATTTGTTCTTCAAAAAGATCTCTTAAATTCTGTTCACTTATTGTTCTCACTCCTTAATAATGTTTTACTTATATTCTTTCTCACCCAGCACCATCCACCTCTGCGTCTTAGTGGTTTTGTTGGCTTCTTTGGGGGGGGGGGAGATTAACATATATATATATATATATATATATATATATAAGAATAAAGATAAATGGAAAACTTATCCTAGCCGACGCGTTTCGTCCTCTGAGGGACTTTATCAAGTCAAATGATAAAGTCCATCAGAGGACAAAACGCGTCGGCTGAGATAAATTTGTTTTTATTCATTTTATACTTTAAGAGTTATAATCTATCTGAAATTTTTACACACACACATACACACACACATAGATAGATAGATAGATAGATAGATAGATAGATAGATTATCGTTGGCGGAACTCGTTGCCGAGTATTGGGGTGCTCATCGACATTTCCTTCCGTGTGAATGATTCCTATGTTGGTCATGAAGAGACGTTTTGCAGCCACGGTATGGTAGGGTAGGAGGGTTCAGGGAATAGAGAGCTCCGGCCTTTCTTTGGGATCTCATTGTGTATTCTATTATAACATGATAAAAATGTAGTTTTAACGTTTGCTATATTTATGGGTATAAGTGCACAATATCAAGAATAAAGCCTGTGTAACAATAAGTGTGGACACTGAGTTCGACATCTAATGGTGACTGTCCGTTTCATGCTTGATCGCGGTCTTAAGGCCATCTTGTTTTTGTGTGTCCATAGATCGATAGACTACTTTGGTTTCTTTGTCTCGTGATCGACAAACAAGCATTTATTCAGTCTCTTGTCGCAGAGCGATCGATAGCAATGTATTGATGCAGACCATTAGCAACGTCATGAGTCCGGCCTTCATTGTTTGCGACACGATTATAAAATTGCGCCAGGCTAATCTTATTAATTCTCTACACAGATAACAGTTCTGTTTCTGCCATAAAACAATCTCGTTTCGCGGGAAGTCCGAAAATCCTAATGACATTTTTCCAGAAAATATTTATATCTCGATTATCAGCGAAGAAAGCTACAGAAGAGAAATAATGTCAAAAGCAACACAAACAGTGGCAGCTGTCACAAAACTCAGCACCATTTTGAAAGGCAAGAACATCTGCCAGAAATTAAAGATTAGACTGTTGCATGCATTGGCATTCTTGATTATTCTGTATGCCTGTGAATCTTGGGGATTAACAGCAGAACTACAGCCAAGAATCCAAGTATTAGAAACAAGATGCTACAGAAACATCCTAAATGCAGACCGCATTTCAAACGATACAATGCAATCATACTGTTATAGTGGAACACACCTATTCTATAGTTAATATACTGTCCCACCTATAATAAGTAGGAGTAGTAAGAGGAACGAGTCAGTCACTCAGTGGGTCGGTCAGTCAGTCGATGCCGGAAGACCGTTAGTCGGATACTAAAGTATCAGCGACCACAACTAAATTACTCTGCGTCATTACCTATTATATCAAGTTCCTAACGTTTTGTACGTCGAACCTATTTTAGGACCGACTTAGTACAAATACAAGCCTCCACTGTGAAATCACTCCATAACACATACAAAAAACAGGACTTTTGGAAGACCTCATATTCAGTGTGAAGAAGAGAAATTTGAAATGGTATGGACATGTCATAAGCGTCTTTTCACTATCATCCTAAAAGGTGCCACCGAAGGCAGAAAGAGGAAAAATGGGCTGACAACACCACTGAGTGGAATGGAAGAGCATTCCCAGAGACTCAGAAATTGGCATGCATTTGAGGCATATCGAGGGAGCTGGTCAAGTACTTTTCTGAGTAATGACCTTATGACCAAGCCTGATCATGGGGCGGATGATGCTGATGCCTGTGATGATGATGATTTCGTATTCGTTTTTTAATGATAAGTTGTAATGATAACTCTTCATCCCAGAAATTCAAACAGAAGTCGTGGCTCAATTATCAGCGAAGAACTCTCCAGAATAGAAATAATTTCAAGAGCAGCACAGATAATGGCAGCTGTCACAAAACTAAGAACCATCTTGAAAGGCGAGAATATCTGCCAGAAATCAAAGCTCAGGTTGTTATGTGCCTTGGCCTTCTCAAAACACATGTAAATCCTGTAAATTCCCGAATAATCCAAGCATTAGAAATGAGATGCTATTGAAGCACCCTCATCATTTCCTCGCATCACACATATACGCAATGTCGAATACAATCAGATAAGAAACAGGCTTATTAGAAGATTTCATGATTACCGTCGAGATAAAATGGTATGGACCTGTTACAAGAGCCAACAATCTGTTCACTACCATCCTACAAGATACCAACCATGCCTAAATTGGAGTACTGATGTCATATTTCGGCAGGAGCTACCCAGTCCTCACTTTCCAATCTCGATGGATTTCAAAAGCGTCTCCGCATCCTTGTGGGAGAAAAATTATTTTCCACCCTCCAATCTCTCTCTCACAGACGGGATGGGGCATGGAAAGTGCTCAGACGAACTACATTCCTTGGTTTCGCCAATTCTAACCTTCACGGCTAGGACCCGCCATGCCACATCTATTGAAGTAAACCACCCTCATTCTCTACTTATTATCCGTTATCTTCCTCACCTATCTTCCTCACCATAAGCTGTACCTCTTACTCTGTAACACTCTACCTCGAGTGGCCCCCGGACCTTATGCAGGATGAACCTCACTATAAAAAACAGAAGGGAAAATAGATTGGCAATATCACTGAGTGGACTGGAAAATCATTAAAAAAACTCAGATATTGCCGAGCAACTGAAACGTATGTCAGGGTTAGGGATGGTCAGGTGTTCATCTTCGCGGTCATGGGATTCATGATGATGATGAGATGCAACCATCAACAAAACAAACTGTTTTGTTTATGTTGTTCGGCTTTAATCTGATGTTTTCTGATGTTTTCCTTTACAAATCGAAAACCGTTCTTCAAGTTGCCACATAAGATCCGAAAATTTTCTCCAATAACGAGAAACAGTTGCACTGCCCACGACGATGTGACTGTCTACTGGGACACAAGTTTACCTCAGAGCACAAGTGGATCTCATATTTACAAGGTTGGTTCCTTCTATTACTCAGGAAATGCCTGAAATTCTTTTTTTGTTAAATTTAATGTTTATATTATAAGGACAAGTCCTCGGATCATCAATTTGGATCATCAAAATCATCAGACAGGACCCCATTTACACAAAATCTTTTCTGAATTGTAAATTAAAAAATGCTATAGAAGTAAGACATTGTTTAATGAGAAAAGCTTTTAATTCCTTTTATGCATAAAATATATTATGGGCACTACTGTCTTAAGAATTTTTTTGATGTATAATGAATTTACAAAAAAGTTTTAAATTTTAAGTCTTAAACTCCTGTATTAATTTGTAATCATAAATGGAAAAGGTCACTACACTTCAACGACCCTCAATATTTCAAAAAGAATTTTGAATTGATTTTATGCGTGTATAAACGTGTCGATTTTTGTAAATACTCTTTCTACAATGCTTTACCTTTGCAAGAGTCAGATTAAACTAAAATGGAATATTGTAGTTTTAATTAGTAGTAGTGATCTAATGAATAGTGACTCGGAATGAAAAATCAAGAGCCAAGTTCAATTTCCAGTCGTTATATTCACTTACGCGCAAATACCCTTACGAAAGGTATGCATCCATATACTCCCCCAGTTATAGGTTAAATAGTAGTACATTTACCTGGAAAAGTCATTGTCAAAATATTGTTAATGCAATATTTGCATGTAAAAAGAAGAATTATTCTTTCAATCTAGAATGTTCCGACCTTAAATGACACACGAAGGGTTGATCAAATGATCAGTTAAATTTCTGGGGGAGCTTCATCTATTAACGTCCATTTATATTTAAAAATATTTTAGGAAATAGGCGCAACGAGGCACTTCCCTGGAGGTTAGCATCAGCCATGATGATGAAAGTCAGAGGTGGGGGTGTCTCTCAGATAATTAATGGAGAGAAGTTTAGCCTTGGAGGCGTCAAAATTAACAAGCCAGTTAACGACGGACTTGAGATCGTTTTGAACATCGGTCGTTATTTTGACCTTGTCGGACTGATCAACCTTACGATCGAGGTAGGAGTAAATGGTTGTGCCATCGGCGTTTTTTTCAAGTTGAACGCTGATGTCATATATATATATATATATATATATATATATATATGCGTCCTGGATAAGACGATAAACTGCATCCGCGTCCTGGGTAAGACGATAAACTACATCCAACAGCAAGGCCTCTGAACAGGAGGTTTTGGGGAGCATGGAACCACCTCTTAATTGTTGGTGTTGCCAGGTCCACCATGACCCGGGGTGGTAACACCTGTTAGGGTCCCAGCTATGGGTAAATAGTTAACTCCCTCCAAAAACTGAGATCAAAACACTATGAAAGTATAAAAATAGGTTTTATTACCAGAAATACTTTATAAAAAAAATTATTACCAGCGATAAATTTTTGAAAAAAAATTTACTAGCAATACACTTTTGGGAAAAAAAAATTACCAGCAATAAAAAAAAATAAATTTGGTGGCATTAAATAACCCATTGAGGTTGTTATGCCGTAAAATAAACTAATCAAACCTTATATATATATATATATATATATTAAGGAGGATTTGAGATAATTAAGTAATTCATCGAGTCTGGAAGAAACCTCAACAGAATGCACTAGGCGGCCGTTTCGCCTATATTTGGGACTCATCAGCAGTGCGCATCCATTACCGTGAAGTGAAACCCGGACAGTTTCATTGACAGGCAAACGTCATACCAGCTGTACTAACAGGCCTCGGTGACAAGGAGGTATATATATATATACAAAATGGCCGGGCGCTTTTTGGATACACCTCACATTTTAGGTCTTTTTTTAGTTAGTTCATCTTCTTGGCTTCTAAATATTCGTTCTTGCTCTTATTCAATTTTGGTTTGCTTGGCTTGCTTGTTTTATGTCAAATCTTGTTGGGTTATTTAAAGTAGAATTTTGTATGGAGCATTTAATGAAGATCGAAGTACTTAGTAGTCAATCAAATTAAACTTATTAATTATTATCCCAACGCTACGACGTCGTTCTTCTACTCGGGGAAAATATGAATTAACGCAAGCTGAGATAATGTCTCAATGGTGGAGTTGAATGACATTGTATCCGGATTGTTGCTGGTCAATTTGCAATTGTATTTGCTTTCACTATCAGCCTTGTTTCTTCTAAGACGTCATTCATCCTTTTCTGTCTCTATTGTGACTGTCATCACCGTGATGACAGACGAATTAAACACACAAGTCTACCACTGACAAGTATTATTCCTGACACAAGGAGCTTTGATTGAAGAACGCTAAACGCGATATTTTCTTTATCTTTAAGGACATGTGACTTGATCGACTGACATCAATCATTATAAAACATTACCGACAATCGTTCGTTTTATTTGTTTTTAGTGCGTGGGTTTGTCACGTTACAAAGTTAAGCTAAGGACAAGACAAAAATGGAAGACTAGAAAAGAGGCGATATATTCTTATGGTGAGTTTTATCTTTTAATCGACTAAAAAGGAAAACAAAATGGACAAGAAAAGAGCAAGTATAAGGTTCAGTCATCAACAATTTTCTGTTTTTGTTTATTAACTTCTTAAAAAAAAATACAATTACATTTTCAATATATTATTGAATAATTAATATTAAAATACATATTCAATTACATAAACCGCCATTATTTGCAATGACTTGTTGCCACCTATCAGATCGCTCTTCGATAGCTTCTATATATAAAATTCTGTGGCTTCCGTTGTCCGTCCGTCACATTTTCTAAAATAGCTATACAGTGACGGATCGAAACCAAATTTTGGGGAGAAACCCAGGGTCACAAATTCACATCAATCCAACTATATATATATATATATATATATATATATATATATATATATATATATATATATATATATATATATATATGTGTGTGTGTGTGTGTGTGTGTGTGTGTGTGTGTGTATGTATAAAAGACAATAAGAAAACTGTAATAGTTGCCGACGCGTTTCGTCCGATGTGGACAAAAGCAAAAGCGAAATGAATTTATTAAACAAACTAATAATAACAAAAACAAAATGTCCTTAGCAACTGGAAGAATTTAGAGAACGCTATTTTCATAATGTTAACTGAAAATTACGTCAATTACTGTCACGGGTGGAGATATTGTTTTTATTCCTGTGTTGACGGATTCAACCATTTTCTTTTTATTTCTTAATACCGTTCTGTACGTTTGTTTGGGAGAGTAGTAATTCTTTTAAGAAAGGTGAAATAGAGAAAAAGCCTACTGAAAAAGTCACACATCGAACGAAACGCGTCGGCAACTGTTATAGTTTTTCTATTGTCTTTTACATTTATAGATATTGTCTTTTTCTACAGGTTAACTCTGAGAAATTTTTCATATATATATATATATATAATGTGTGTGTATTGATGTAATAGGAAAGAACAGTTCGATTAATAATCCAAAGTTCTTTAGTATTTATGTTTTTATTTAAAAAAAAAAAAACAGTGCTCGATACAGAAGTAGAGCTTAAATTATAATTTTTCTTTTTCAAAATATGATTCCATCGCGATACAGAAATTATTATGTTTTGAAAGTGATTTTCAAGCCCCAACGTTTAATTTCAAAATTAAACTTAAAATTTAGAGCACAGTTTCATTCTCAAGCGATGTTTAAAACCTAAGCTTTGAGGGGCTGTTGGGCCTTGTATTGGGTTAGCCTATGTAAAAAATGTCACCCGCATTGGCCGGGATAAAAGTGTAGTATCTGTTCTCACCTTATTTGAGATGGATTTCAATCCTGCGTCAACACCTTCCTCATTACACTAAGAGAAGTGGGGTCAATGTAATATCGACGTCAGCGTGACAGTGGTCGTCGGGACTGTGCAGTTTTTTTCCTTGCTTCATGTGCATATGAAAAAAAAAAACAAATCCTGGGTATGACGATAAACTACATCCGGCAGCAAGGCCTCTAATCTGGAGATTGGAGGTTTTGAAGTGCGTAGAACTCTTAATTGCTGTTGTTCCCAAGTTCATCCTGAGTCGAGGTGGTAAGGCCAGGGTTAGGGTTTCAGTTGTGGGCAAATAGTGAATCTCCAAATAAATACACCATGAAAGTATAAAAATACATTTCAATATTAAAAAATACCCAATAATTTTTTATATATATATATATATATATATATATATATATATATATATATATATATATATATAAAAAGACCAACAACATATTTTATCTGTAGTTGAAGGCATAGAATTGCATTCAAAATATATTTAGTCGAAGCCATAAATTGGTGTTCAAATTATTTAGATTTCAGCATTAAATAACCCATAGAGTTATTGATATACCGCAAAACAAAATCTGCCAACCAACGAACCATATAAAAAGAGACATTGTGTCACATTTTGCCTTAGTGGGGAGGTCAGGTAAACATTATCGCAAACAAAATTACCACTTAGGGAAGGCAATCATAACGTCGAATGTTATTTGCCCAATAACTGACTTCACCGAAAGCGTTAAACCGAATCTTCACTTCGTCGAATACTTCACTTCAACGGAAAACCTAAATGTATAAAATTAAAGGGAGGTAACTTTTATATCTGAATATTGCTTTCTAAAATTATGTATAATTGAAAAGTTCGAATTCCAGTCGGGTTCGTTACGTGCAAATACCTTTGGGAGAGGTATGAATTCATCTATTCTCCATCTTTGCTATTACCGTGACATTAAACCGACCTTGTGCCATATTTGCCCTCGTCGGATGAAAAATGGCTGCCAACTACCTCACAGCACTTAACATAGTTCGATGTTTACATTATTTACATTGTTCGGACTATTGTCCTCATCTTTATTTCCATATTCACGACATTTCGGCCGTTGTACGTTCCGGCATTCTTCAGATGATATACGTTGGAATTTTGAACCGAACCCTTTATTTCGTCCACCGAAGTACCCAAAACACATGGCCCACTAGATAAAAGCGTTGGTTGAAGTAATCCAACGACGTGACCGAGTTGTGACCTAAAGAGTTGTGAGTTGTGAGTTCAGCAGAGGTGAACAAAACCATGGAGAGTTGAGTTACTAAAGGAATGTGCGAGAAAACGGGGAAAAAACAACTTCTTGCGACACAAAAACGACCGCCTACTTGCGAACCTGAAATGAACGCATTCTCTTCCGAACGAACACTTTACAACAGCAAACGAGCAAACGGTACCCACGACTGCTGCCGACGAACGGACGACCGACCGACCGCAATGACTTTTGTCGCCCAAAAAAAGACCCCAAACGACTCGCGCGTCTTCTTCTTGTAGTCCCCGGTCGAGTCCATTATGGTACTCCAAGGTGTGCCCGGCGACAACACACGCACGCAGTTCGAGGACGCTTCCGCGCATGCTTGTTACAAGGAAAATAACTGAAACTGAGATATCCAGAAAAGGCATGGCACGTGGAACTAGAACAATCTATCCCGGTGAATGAAATAAAGGGTTCGATTTGAAATTTCAAATTCCACCTGAAGAAGGCCGGAGCGTACAACAACTGAAACGTCGTGAATATGACAATAAAGATGAGGACAACAATGCAAACAATATAGTGTAAATAACCATCATTATTGTTTTATTTTCCCTCTTACTGTCACAGCTTACTGTGACATTATCTAATGATTAGAGTAAATGAATGTTTTTTACGCGTTGGGTTATGAAGACTTAGATGATCATCACCACGGAATGTGTGAGTAGCGGCGCTATATCGAGTCTATATAGAAGAAGTTTCTTCTTTGTCACCGAGGCCCGTTGGTACAGTTGATATGACGCTTGTATCGAAAAGGTCCGGGTTCGATTCTCGGTAATGGATGCGCACTGCTGCAAATAGGATGAAACGTTGAGGATTCTTTTAGACTCGATGAATTACTATACGATTATTCTAATTCCTCAAAATTCTTTCACTTAGAGATAGATAGATAGATAGATAGATAGATAGATAGATAGATAGATAGATAGATAGAATGATAAAGAACAGATCTTACATAGATAGATATCAACAGGTCATTAATAGATATGAATAGACCATAGATAGATATGAATAGAACATAGGTAGTTATGAATAGGCCATAAATAGATAGATAAAGAACAGACCACTGATAGATATGAATAGACTATAGATATTTATCAACAGGGCATAGATAGATAGATAGATAGATATGAACACACCATATGAACCGATAGATAGATGGAGAGAGAGAACAGACTTTAAATAGATAGATAGATATCAACAGACCATTGATAGATAAATAGATATGAATAAACCATAGATAGATATGAATAGAACACAAATAGATACATATTCGTTCTTTGAATAAACCCAGTTAAAAGTAAACTATATCTCATTAGTGTAGTAATAAAAACAATAAAAGTTTTAAAAAGAAATAGTATAAAGATCGAATCAATTTTTAATTTCGTTTCAATTCGTTTTAAGAGTGTTTTTTAATTACTTTTATTTTTATCCGGTCTTCAATTCTCTCATGCCATTTGATTAGTTATCAGTGTATGTGCAATCGCTTTTTAAGCCATTTGTATCATTTCTTGTTTGGTTTACCACAAGAGAAAAACGGATGAACACTCGCCCTTCTTATTGGTCCAATTTACCGATATTAAAAGATTAGATTCACTCGACATTGACCTTCTGGCTAATCTGTTTGCTGCAGACTCTCTTATCAAAATGGCCGATGGATAACATTCTTGCTGTGACTTGAATTTTTATTATAGCCATCGGGGTTCATTTTTGTACGAATAATTTGTCTCGTTATATGTTGCAATTCAGTTGTTCGTTGGCTTGTCTCCTTGGCTACATCCATGACTAACAACAATTAAAATGTCTGAATAAGAGAAATGTCTGTTTAAATCCTGTCTGTTCTCTTGTTTCTTTTATCATTCAGAAATTGACTACCTGAGGATGATTGTCAACGTTGACGTTAATTCAAAATAAACCTGACAAAACAATCGCACATTGTTTTCATTATGAGTCCACAAATTCGGTCGAGTTCTTCAAATCAATCATTATTTTAGGTATTCAGAAAATATTGAAATAGTTATATTCTCAATATATATAAATATAAGCAATCTATTGCTTAATGCAACTCAGAAATAATTCAATGAAAAATCATGGACTAGGCATTCCCTTCCCATTCCGTCTGATCAACCCCTACACTGTGCTGAACAATAATAGCATAAGGCTGGGGCAAGAGGAAGAAAGAAAGGTTTATTAACTATCAAGATAGATAGATAGATAGATAGATAGATAGATAGATAGATAGATAGATATGAACTGTATGAGATAGATAGATAGATAGATAGATAGATAGATAGATAGATAGATAGATAGATAGATAGATAGATAGATATGAACTGTATGAGATAGATAGATAGATAGATATATAAGATAGATAGATAGATAGATAGATAGATAGATAGATAGATAGATATGAACTGTATGAGATAGATAGATAGATAAATATGAACTGTATGAGATAGATAGATAGATATGAACTGTATGAGATAGATAGATAGATAGATAGATAGATAGATAGATAGATAGATATGAACTGTATGAGATAGATAGATAGATAGATAGATAGATATATAAGATAGATAGATAGATAGATAGATAGATAGATAGATAGATAGATAGATAGATAGATATGAACTGTATGAGATAGATAGATAGATAGATAGATAAATATGAACTGTATGAGATAGATAGATAGATATGAACTGTATGAGATAGATAGATAGATAGATAGATAGATAGATAGATAGATATGAACTGTATGAGATAGATAGATAGATAGATAGATAGATAGATAGATAGATAGATAGATAGATAGATAGATATGAACCCTATGATGTAGATAGATACTCACACTATATACAACTATAAGGAATCTCTTTCTTAATGCACCTCAGAAATAATTAAATAAAAATCTTAAGTTGGGCATTGCCCTCCCACTCCGTCTGATCAACCCCTATCCTGGGCAGAGCAATAAAAGCATAAAGCAGAGGACAAGAAAAAGAAAGATAGAAAAGAAAATTTTATTAACAGCTTCATGTCTGCCAAACTCTTTCTATACCTCTATGGCCGGGAAATTAAATATAAAACTAATCAGTTATTCTTTGACTTACCTATAACGAGAGAGCTTTCAGTATTTCATCGACAATTATTATTGTTATGGTCCGGTTCAATGTACCACGGTGATAGTCCAAGGTAGAACCAATAAAGAAGAACTCGAATACGGATATGAAATAACACAGATATATTACAAACAGGAATATATACAGAGAAGTAGAAAAGTGTTAGTACGAACAATCAGGTTTAGTAGTAATTGTCTGAACGCGACTCTGTTTCGGACGGCCTCTGACTCGACTGACTGATTCGCTCGCTCTGACTGGCAGACTTTTGACGGACTTCACTCCAGACTTCAGACTGAACAGTATTTAGTCACCCCACCCCCACGAGAGCATCATGTGGCACAAGGCCGGTTTAACGTGGGATCTCCGAGCCTGTGTGATCTCCGAGCCCGTGGGATCTCCGTATAAACGGGTTCAGGATCGGTTTACCTCCCCGAAAGACACTCCGCCCTTCGGCGTAGCCTCGTTCGGGTTCCTCCCCCCCCCCGCGAAGGCAGAGAGTTCAACCGGGCAGGTGGTAGTCCGACTTCAGACTGAACTCAGACCAACTCACTGAGCGATATTCAGTCACCCTCCCCACGAGGGCATCATGTGGCACAAGGCCGGTTTAACGTGGGATCTCCGAGCCCGTGGGATCTCCGAGCCCGTGGGATCTCCGAGCCCGTGGGCTCGGCCAAAAATATGCCCTTTGAACCTGTATAAACGGGTTCAGGGTTGGTTTACCTACCTGAAAGACAATCCGCCCTTAGGCGTAGCCTCGTTCAGGTTCCTCCCCGCCCGAAGGCAGAGAGTTCAACCGATCAGCCGGTCGCCCAACTTCAGACTGAACGATATTCAGTCACCCTCCCACGAGGGCGTCATGTGGCACAAGGTCTTTTTAACGTGAGAACTCCGAGCCCCTGGGCTCGGCCTAAAATATGTCCATTGAACCCGTATAAACGGGTTATTGGTCAGTTTATCTCCCCGAAAGAGACTCCGCCCTTCGGCGTAGCCTCGCTCGGGTTCCTCCCTGCCCAAAGCCAGAGAGTTCAGCCGATCAGCCGGACGTCCGACTTCAGACTGAACAGGATTTAGTCACCTCGCCACGAGGGCATCATGTGACACAAGGCCGGTTTAACGTGGGATCTCCGAGCCCGTGGGCTCGGCCAAAAATATGCCCTTTGAGCCTTTGGGGAGTTTCTCGTTTGTATTGTTACCATTTTTACGCGATCGAACATAAAGCATTTGGACAGTTTCTATGAAATTCCTTCCCCTAACACCGTCCTGGGTATGACGGTAAACTACATCCGCGTCCTGGGTAAGACGATAAACTACATCCAACAGCAAGGCCTCTGATCAGTAGGTTTTGAGGAGCGTGGAACCACCTCTTAATTGCTGATGTTCCCAGGTCCACCCTGACTCGGAGTAGTAGCACCTGTTAGGGTCCCAGCTATGGGTCTCTGTAATAATAATAATAATAATACTGGGGTTAAAACACTATGAAAGTATAAAAATAGGTTTTAATACATACCATTTGTAAAAAAAATTATTACCAGCAATACATTTTTAGAAAAAAAATGATATTACCAATTATAGTTTATTTTGAAAGAAAATATTACCAGCAATAAAAAAAATTTGTCGGCATTAAATAACCCATTGAGGTTGATATGTGTTATAGTGGAACACACCTATTCTATATTTAATAGACTCTCCCACCTATAATGAGTAGGAGTAGTAGCAGTCGCGGAGTGGCTCAGCGAGTTGGTCTGAGTTCAGTCTGAAGTCGGACGACCAGCTGCCCGGTTGAACTCTCTGCCTTCGGGCGAGGAGGAATCCGAACGAGGCTACGCCGAAGGGCGGAGTGTCTTTCGGGGAGGTAAACCGACCCAGAACCCGTTTATATGGGTTCAATGGGCATATTTTTGGCCGAGCCCACGGGCTCGGAGATCCCACGTTAAACCGGCTTTGTGCCACATGATGCCCTCGTGGGGGGGGTGACTAAATACTCTCAGCGAGTTGGTCAGTCAGTCGATGTCGGACGACCGTTAGTCGGATACTAAAGTATCAGCGACCACAACTAGATTTCTCTGCGTCATTACTTATTATATCAAGTTCCTAACGTTTTGTACGTCAAACCTATTTTAGGACCGACTTAGCACAAATACAAGCCTCTACTGTGAAACTACTCTACAACAATATGCCGTAAAATAAACCAAACCAAACCAAACCAAAAACCAAACCTGCCCCTAACAAAAGTATGTGTCATTTATCTTTGTCAACTGCCGTTTCATCTTTATCTCCATACGTCTGTAATTTGTTTTATTATTATTATTATTATTATTATTATTATAATTACGGAGTTTTCATTCTCAGTGGTTTTCATTGGAGATTATGTGACAATGCAGGACTTTCCACGGTATTCTTATTAATTTTAATGATGCTTTTTGTTTGGATGGCTTCAGTCCTTTATTATTTCATACTCGTTTTATTCTTGCCAGTAGCATCAGACTATTTTCACATTAGATCATGTAGCAGCAGCATGTTTCATCAATACACCAACACTCCCCACAGTATTTTAGTCAAGTTCAATAAGCCTATCATCAAGCTGGGTACGAATATGCTTAAGGGTATACGAAAGAAATTCAGTAGATACGCGATCAGATCTCTTCGCCCTTTTTACTATTTGTTGAAATTCACGAAACTTGTTTTTTTTTTCCCCCGAAGTGACTGTTTGCTTTCTGTCTTTCTCATCGTCTTACTCCTCGCACGCTCAGCTCCGTTTTTCACTGTATTTAACCTTGAGATAACACGGAAGATCTTTTCAAAGGGTTCGCCATCACAGTCGGGCAAGACGAAAGGGTACGCGGACAAAAAAGAAAATGGTTCTAGTTCTTTGTTTTTTCTAATACTACTGAGCTTTTTTCAATTTTGTTTCTTCTCTGGAGATGGATGACTCTTCCAAGCAGGCCATGAAAGATGAACATAATTATTGCTTACATGTCCCACAGTTTTTTTTTTTTTTCCTGTTTTCTCCCAAGAGTGGGTGTGAAGGTAGTGTAATGGATACCGTTCGAATTGCAGTTATGTTGGCTACATCCACTTACGTGCAGATATCCATGGGGAAGCTAGGGATCTATCTTTTCTCCCCTGAAATAGCGAGGCTTGTATCTGGAAAAAATCATTATCTCCCACCCAAATTATCACTGCAATATTCACTCTCAAAAAAAGACCAACGCTGAAAAAAGACCAACGCTGACTATTGACTAATACCTGCTCGGTATACCTGATTCTCCATTACATTATTATTCTTACAATCCAAAATATGTTTCGGTTTTAAATATCCCATGTAGGGTTGATAAGCCGTAAAAAACAAATCAATCTCTTTCAAGGTCAAGATATTTTTACGGTTTTGACTTTCTTTCAAATTCCGCTGAGAAATATATCTCAACTTCCAGTGACAAGTAACCGCCCCCTGTTGGAAATCAAATTTAAGAAATTGAGAATACTAGTTCATCGATTTTATATTGTTACACGTTCGTGCTTAAAGAAGTTTTCCAATCCTATTCTCAGAGCGTGGCTGGACGTTTCTATTTCATTCCAAAATTCAGTTTTGGCTGAATCAAAAGTCTAATTAGACAGCCTTTCCTGAACTTTGGGTCGAGGTCAAAGTGTAGTATCTGTTCTCTTTTTGCCATGTTTCTGAATTCGGACAGCTTTAAAGGATGCCTGGTCCCAGAGTATTCCATCCCCGTAGCAGGACCTCCATCAGATCTTTTCTGTTAATTCAACCCAAATAATGTAAAGTTATTTATCGAAAATATTAATTCACCCCAAGAAATTTTAAATTTTAAATCAAAGTTTGTTTTTTATTAAAATTTTTAGTACTCTTTTGAAATTATAAATTTTAAATCAAAATTTGTTTAGCTATCTTCCTGTATATGCCATGCTATTTCAAAGAGCATGGCATATAAAGGAAGAAAGAGATATCAGAATTATTTCCTCTTCGTAAATCCATACCAACTCCAACCCCCAGAATGAAAAATTACCAAAAATCAAGGAATTATTCACATTTCGTAAGTACGGATGATATTCGAGGTACTTACAAGAAATTTTTTACAATTTAAAAAAAAAAAAAGAAAAAAATCTCTTTTTGGTTTGTTTATCAGGGTGAGCGCGAACGAATACCCCACATTTAAAATTAGCGCAGACGAGTCGCCCACATTTGGAGCGATCGCAACAGTCAACCCAATTTTAGTGCAATAGAAGGGCCTTGCTCTGGTAGAATTTTGTGTGAATTTTAGTAAATATAATTCTTTTTATTTTGGGGTGAATAATTAATAGGAAAGCTCCCCTTTATTTCACTAAAGTGGGAGGGTTGAAGAAATACCAACGCCAGGGTACCAGTGGTTGCAGAGACTGGGAAATTTTTGGCCTTGGCCCATATGGTGATTTTCGTAGCTTTGGTATGGCACAAGGCCGAAAGTATGGGACAAACAGTGAGGATCGGACTCACTACTAAGTCGTAATTCTTCTAGCGAGACAAACTTGCTCATCATTACACCACGTCGAGGTGCCCCCTTAGCCTATATGTAGGGTGGGCAGTCCCCATTAAAAACCACCATGTGTCACCACATCCCTCCACCGTCGGGAAACACCAAATCTTCTTCTTCTTTTATGAACCGTGTCCTTTCAGGACGTAGACGATCACGGCTCTCCGCATCTTCCTGTCCCAAATAGATCTTAATGTTTTGTCTTTTTGTTATTTCTCCCAAACCCTGTTCTGGCCATCCATTTGCTTAAGCCCATCAAGTATGTCACGCGTTTGCTTTCCTCTATCCCTCTTTCTCTCTCTGTCCTGTGAGTATCAGATTTTCCAAGCCCTCTTTATGTGCCCCAGAAATTTCATCTGATGTTAAGCATTAGTTTTCTTTTTGTTTCCAATTCTCTCCAAAACCTCGTCGTTGCTCACATGTTCGGCCCATGGTATTCTCAGCATCTTTCTGTAGAACTACATTACTCTTGCTATGAGTCTCGTCTTCATTTTTTAAGACATTGTCCATCATTCGCTGCCACACAGGAGGACAGACGTCACGCAACAATTCAGTACTCTTTTCCTTGTTTCTAACGACGTTTTTCTGTTTCTTAATACTCTACTTAGCTTTTGGAAGGCATCTTTGGCTATCCCAATACGCCCCCGGATTTCAGTATAACACTTTTCCGTTCTTTCGTTAAAACACTCCCCAGATATTTAATTTTCCGCACTTGTTTGATTTTGCTATCTCCGACTTGCAATTCGCACTTTGGAGTCATCCTTTTGCTAGCAAATATGCATTATGTCTTCTTGCAGTTGATCATTTTTTATTGCTTTTATTCATCACTTTCTGTAGGAGTTTTTGTCGCTTTCTTTCTGTGTCTGCGGTCGACACTGTGTCACCTGCATATGTTACGTTGTTGAGATTGTAGCGACCAATAATGAATCCTGGTAGGACTTCTAGTTCTCACAAAATTGCCTCGCTGTATAGGTTGAATAAGTCCGATGCTGCTTCCAAAATGATTCAAGTTAACGGTTAACGGTTCGACGCGTTTTCAAATTCAGTTATAATCACTTTCAAGTATTTAGTATTGTGAAAGGAAGGAATCTTATCCCTCCAGCTAAGGGTTAAATAACAGAGCAGACTAAGAATCTCTAGCTATGGTTAATAACCAGTCTAGAAGGAGGAGAACTCTAAAACCAGCCAGTTTCCCCATTAAAACGACCATGTGTCACATACCGCCACCGTCGGTAAATACCAAATCACTAAGTAACAAACGCCATGTTGGTTTCTTGTTAATAACAGTCTTTTCATCGCAGTTTTGATTTATGGTCCACTGCAAAACGACATTCACTATCCGACAAACGCTCTTCTTTTCGTTTTTGATACCTACGCCTGTTCTTTTAGCCTTGGTTGGATTGCTATTCAGGTATGAAGCTTATGTAACACAAAGCAGTTTCGTAGACTGTCGTAAGATTTGAAACTTGGAGAGTATATTCTACTTTATCTCGCATCGAAATAAAATTTCATTTCTACGTTCCTCTCGAAATGCACTTTTGCTAGTCACTGACGGCCAATCAAAATATTCCATTCGTGTCCGTTATTTATTTGTTTACCCTTCAGGACCCTAACTTCCGTGAAATGTGTCTACTTTATCAAGTCTTTGGCATCTTTTTTTTTTTTTTTCGAAAATTACGAGAAGAGACACTTTAC